GTTATTTGAAAGCAGAGGTGCCAGGTGGGCAAAGCTCAGTAGTAGAGCTCCGGGGGAAGGCTCCACTCCCCTCAAGTCAGAAACACAGGCCTTTTGTAAACCGCCTAACAGTAGACCAAGGTGGCTGAGTGAGAGGAAGTGATACTTGCGAAGTGACCAGAACATGCAATCTGTAAGCTGGGCTGAAGCAGGAGGCTCTGGAGTTCGAGGCCAGCCTGGGCAATTCTGTGACTTAGTGAGAGCCTGCCTTAAAATGAATGAATGAGTAAATAAATAAATAGGGCTAGGAATGTAGCTCGGTGGGAAGGCACTGGGTTCCATCTCCAGTACTGGGGAGGGAAAAAGAAAGAAAAAGAGCTCTACAAATGCCGGTTCTGGTCATGATTCATTCAGTGGGCTTCAAGGAACATCCTTCAAAGGACTTTCCTTGAGTGGAGGACCAGGGGATCCTTTCCCAGAGAAAAACCTTTCCTTTGAGTGAAGCCAAACAAGGGAGTTTTAACTGGGCCAGGCAGAATTTGTTAATGAGTCTAATAACAAAGAAAGTTGATTATAAATACCCCATAAGATTTTAATGGTTCCTGGGTTCTGCAGAATTTTTTAAAATGTTATTTTAAAAATATATATTAGTATCTGTTTCTTGGCAAATTTTAAAGGTCATTGAGCCTTCACATGAAAGGCACAAAATTCTTTTTTTTGTTTTTGTTTTGTTTTGTTTGTTATTTTCCAGTACCAGGAATTGAACTTACGAACTTACACTTGCCAGGCAGGCGCTGTGCCGCTGAGCTAAATCCCCAGCCCCCACAAAATTCTTGTTAAACAAGGTCTCTTTCTTCTGCACCACAATTGCTCATCCAAGTTACTCCCGCAGTTGGATGTTCAGATAGATGCTCCAGGAGAGTCTGAGCATTTTCAGGTCCTCTGCTGAAGGCGAACATCTGTTTTCCACTGGCATGCTGCTCCAAGAACCAGATGACCCTAACAAACAATTAAATTAACATGTATCTCATACAAGAAAATGGAATTCTGTAAGGAACTAGAAGTAAAACTGGAACCCATCTAAGCAGCAGGTTGTCAGTGGCCCAAAGAACGGGTCATTCTGCGGCTACTGCTGCACAAAGCTCTCTCCACCTAAGGCGCATCACTAGTGTCCTACAGGGTCACCTGGAGCACAGGGCCTCGAAACACATGACATGCTAAGTACAAACCTAAAGCATTCCTGTGGGTAAAAGAGGGAGGGAGAAGTGGCGGGACCCTCCCTCCCCCGAACGAAGGCTGGGGAGATGGGCAACAAGCTTCCCTAATGCAAACTATATGTGGAAAAGAATCCAAATACATATTTAGAAAGCAACACTTTCACGGAGCAGAAGGGAAAGACTCAAAATATTTATAATTGCAGGGGAATCCTGAATTCTCTTTTCTTTTTTTGGCCTTTTTTTTTTCTTTTTGCAGTACTAGGGACTGAACTCATGACCTTGCGCTTGCCAGGCAGGCGCTTATGTCACTGAGCTATATCCCCAGACCCCTGAATTCTCTTTTCTATCCAGTACTTCTGTTTCTTATAATTAAGATCACAGTACATCTGGTCTTGTTTCTTAGGATACTCCCCAAGTATTGAGGGGGAATATTTTAAGAACACTGCTAATTTGGTATATAAAATTAAATTGTTTTAATTTGGTTTCTATTTATTGAATTAACATTTGACTTAAGAAGGTACAATTCCATATATATTTTTTAAGGAGTCAGAGGCAAAATTGCTACCAATATAAGCAACTTGGGATCTTAAAGTCAGACTGACAGTGGCCTACAGGAGTGTTAATCTTCCAGCTACTGCTGAAGGTGTTCTCCCCTCACTGGGGGTGTCTTGCAGGGTTACCAGAGTTTTTACAGACTTTTCATTTTTCTCTCTGTATCTGAATTCTTTAAAAAATGTGGGGGGCTTGTGGGAGAGTGACTGCTAAAGGGTGCAAAGAGGTATAGTTACACCAAAAGCCGCTGAGGTGATCAAGCGGGTGAGTGTGTGCTAGGTGGACTGGAGACTTTGAAGGCGCTCAGTATTTGGGCTGGTTTCCTTCTGGCGCAGCTGTGCCTCTCGTATTTAGACCCAGGGAGCGACAGATCTGTTAGTCTTTGCAGCCACTGAGGGACTGTCTGCAAAACTGCAGGTGTGTCAACAACACAGGCTGCAGGGCCTTCAGTCCCAAAATGCAAGGCTGGTGGCTCAAAGGTACGCTTCAAGGGTCCTAGGCTTGGTCTTTTTGTTTAATGGAATACGTTAGGTTTCTTCCTTGCCACACCCTCTTTCTCTCAGACATCTGTGCCTCCATGATCTTATTTTTATAAGCACTATCTTTGAGTACTGGCAGTTAAGGAAAAAGGTATAAATAATTGGTGCAGATAAGGCATTGGTTTCTGAATGGCTTCTTTTAATGGTGGTAAAACTGCTTCTAACTACATTCAGCCTGTCTATGTCCAATAGGAACAGTGTGTACCATGAAATAGCATTGTTTATTTTGTATTTAACATAAGAAATGATTCTTTTTCTAAGCAACTGAAAAAGTCAAGTTCGGTTAACCCTCCAGATAAAATATGGCCTTTTCCTACCCAAATCACTCTAAGAAAAAAATGTACTTGTGTCATTTCCCTTCAGTAAACTGTACTTGATGACTGACAGACACAGGGCATGTCTAGGAAGGATTTCTTGTCCCAGTAGTATGAATTTCATTTGTTTTAAATTAGGTTTAAAAGTTTAAAAATAAGGTACTTCCAGTCCCAACAAACAGATCCTGCGTAATTCCTGTAATGGAGATTATGGTGAGGGTAACGTCAGCCCCACTTCAACAGGTGCCATTCTAGAAAGAGGTGTCACAGCTACAAAAAAGATGAGGTTCACAGCTTTACTGTAGGGCTTGGGGTACTGGATATAAAATTCTATTTTTATACCTATGGTGAAAAATAAGCCTCAAAATCTGCCAATTTAAATGTAAACCAGATGCAGTCACCCTATAACAGTTTTTTTTTGGTCTTTTTTGAGACAGGTCTCACTATGCAGTTCACGCTGGCCTTCAACTCACTTTGTAGCCCAGGCTGGCCTCGGACTCAAAGCAATCCTCCTGCCTCGGCTTCCCAAGTCCTGGGATTATAGATGTATGCCACCACACCTGGCCTACAACAGTTTTGAGATGAGTAACTGTATATTTGTAATTTTAAAGATGTCTAGTTTTCAGTTTTGCTAAGTTCAAAGCTACATACAACTTAAACCAACAGGGAACGATGGTTAGCAACTGGTGACTCCAGGTGTGTTTGGGGTGTGTAGATGGTGTGCAGACGTGTGTTCACTGCTTTAACTTTGTCATAGACTTGCAAATTTTCAAAATAAAAAATGAGAAAGCTGTTATGACACAGGCACAAAGCACATGTCACCAAATGTACTGATTTTAGGGTAAAATAATTCCTGTCTAACCTCTGTCTTACCTATTTCATAGGTAAAAACTCTTCTGTTAAAGGAAAAAGTGGAGAAATACTGAACATGCACTCAAGAAAAACACTGTTTGAAAAGCCTGTGGAGAGGCGCTCTCACCAGCCTCTGCTGTAGTTGCTGAGATGTTCCGACTGGCGCAGCGCTGGCCCCTGGCCCACCTCACCGAACAGCGCGCATCCCATCTTTACAAACGCCAGGAAAGGTTTAAAAAGACGTCTCAGTAAGATGGAAATTGCTTCTAATTTTGAGAAATAAAAGTATTTTCTCAGTTGAAGTCTTAATACTGTTTAATATGAATTTCTCATGGGCTACTTAAGCTGGCTGTATTTTTAAAATAAAGTTTCATAGTTTTGACTCTTGTTCAGTCGATGCTAAATGACGAGGCTTCATCATTCCTATTAGATCTTTGGCTGAACGGAACCAATTCAGCAAAATAGTAAGACATTTCTATAAAATTTACTTTGAGATAGGAGTCAGCATTACACTAATGCCAAATTGTTTGTCTTTGAATGAAAATGCAGAGAATATGAACCATACAGAATGAATAATACAAAAAGGAAAGAACCTCTCTGAAACTAAGTTCCCTGATAGGAAACTAACAACAGGCAGGCTATGCACCAACCGGTGGGCAGACAGTATAAAGATCTGAGGCGAGGAACCGGTGCTTTCCAACAAAGGCACCCCCAGCACTGGGACGCACCCCAATGGGTGTCACACACCCGAACAGCCAATGAGCCACGTGTTCCTTTCGGGCACACTGCCAACTGCTGGTCTTAAAAACTTCTCATGGGCCTCAGAAGCGGCCATGCCACACCCACCTCCCCCTTTCTAAATTCCTGCATGAATACTGCCTGTCCATCACATCAGAGAACCAAGACTGTGACAGAAGGTCCTAAAGAATTAAAAAAAAAAAAAAAAAGAAAAGAAAAAAAACAAGTGAATTTTCACACATCTTAATACCAAGGTCTGGGAGATTAAGTGGGAGGAATACAGAAAGAAATATTGAGTGTTACCCTTTGTAGAAACAAAAATAAAAAAGGTAACTTGAGCTGGGTGTAGTAGCCCACATCTGTAATCCCAGCATTCTGGGAGACCTAAGTAGGAGGACTGCAAGTTTAAGCCCAGGCTGGGCAATTTAACAAGATCCTGTCTCAAAAGAAAAACTTTTAAAAAGGAGACTGGGGATGCAACTCAGTCTCCAGAGCTCAAGCAATCCTCCTGCCTCAGCCTCCTGAGCAGCTAAACTATAGGCATATGCCACTGTACCCAGGTGATACTTGGAATCCTTTAATATCCAAAGATGATTCATATAAATCAACTAAGCTAGAAGTTGTCAATTCTTCTGTTTTGAAAATATATATGCACTGTCACAAGCAAAAATAAGATAGAATATATGTTAAATAACACTACTTTAAGTTCCTGTGATGACACAGACACACCACACCCCACAATGACATAGCAGAAAGTATTTACAAGAATCATTTAGAGTAAAATAAAATATAAGTGATAAACTGCAACATATGATGGTTTGTTGCTATAAATTTATTCAGATTATGAAAACTGTCATATTTAAAATTCTCAAAATAATTTTGGCACGAGTCAAAACTTGTGTTAAATCCCTGAGCTTCTTAACAGTCCCTGAGGATGATTTCCACATGGTCATCTTCTCCAGCCACCCTGCCCCTCTCTCCCCAGTGCCTTGTTTCCTCCACTGGCTCCCCGTCACCTTAACCGATCTCGTCTCTAACCAACTGTGCTCTGCAGAAATCAGGGAGTCTCCAGTCCCCACCCCAGAGAAGACCCCTTACAGTGCTGATGCTTTCTGCAGGGCAAAGGAGGCAGTGAGGGGTACAGGTTGGGCATCTTTATCGCTCCTCAGCTTGCCCGCAGTGGTCAGCGTTCTAACATCTCCAGGGCTTTATGCCTCAGATGCTCATCCAGACACTGGATGGCAAAGAGGTCCACATCCATGTCAAACTTATTGGCAAAAAAGTGGTGTTTGCGCAGCATCCAGGTCAAGTCACCGGCTCCAAAAATGCACACGCTGCGCACGTGGACACCGTCGCAGGGTGGATAGGGAGCGCCCTTGTTAACGTCACCTTCGAAGTACTGCCACTTGACAAACCTGGCAACAGCCTGCATGTCAGACAGGTCGTACTTGTGGCTCAGCGGTAGAGAACCTGGGGCCTCCGGGACCCTCTGGATCGTGGCCCAGAGATACTCATCAGGGCTGTATGTGTCCTGCGCCCACTCCATGAACTTTTGGATGTCTTCATTTTCCAGCACGTAGCCCACATACTCCCTGCTGACCACAAAATAGGCACTCCCTGAGAAAAGAGGCGTTTTGAGTGGAGGCTGCGTTTTGGCGGTGCCTGTGTCTGTCAGCTTTCCATCGATGACTGCGTAATGCCTTTTCCACCTTTCTGCTTTATGGGATGGCATCTTCTCTGTTTCCAGGTTGTTTTCACCCATGAAGGACTTGAGCTTCCTGACCATTTCCAGGTTGGTTTTAATAGGAAAATCCATCCCACAAAGGTTGATCAAGTACTTCCAGTCTGCACTCATTCTGTAGAGGTCCTTCATGCAGTTGAGGTCAGCCTGCACCCGACTCCACGACGCGTAGACCACGCTCTCCAACTGACTGGCCACAAAGACATTCCTGAAACAGGACGCGATGCCTTTCACTGCAGCTACAAAGGAGTCCTCTGATTTTTTGTCCACATGGATGCAATAGAAATTCTGAGGCATATAAATGGCCCTTAGGAGCCTGTCAAGCATTTCAATTTTGTGATGAACCACTATGGAATATGCAATCGGGAAGCCTGCTTCCTCTTTACTAAGGGGTTCTACGATATATTTACGCATCTTGATGAAAGAGGTACAGTCCCTGGTCATGTTGATATAATCAGAGGGTGTCCACCGAGGGCGTTTTCTAAAGTTTGCTGTTAGCATTTCAAGCTTTGCTTTCTGGATTTCGTCCGCATCACCTTGTAAAATTTTGGTGCAATTAATATTACTACTAGGATTCTCTCCAACAAGTTCCAAGTGTCTGAGGCTTACAAATTCAAACTTGTGACAAATTCTTAAGACAGTGAATGTGACTAAGGATAAAACAAGAATGACAAAATAGTATTTAGTGGGATAAGAGAAAAGTCTCCTTCGTAACAAATTCCTCAGCATTTCAAATGACAATCAGAGACTCTCCCTCATTAAGGGCAATCTTCTAGACTGCAAAGGCCAGTGATCTTCCCTCCAGTCTTCCCTCTGTCGCAGCTTGAAGAGCTGACACACTGCATTTATCCAACATACAAAGTCATCTTGAAAGGCAGAATGGCACTGAAAGAAAAAGAGAAGTGATTATATATATATTTACATACACTCTTTCACCATATCTTATCAAGCTCTTCTTTGCTATGAGGCCAGATATAAAAAACAAAAAGTGGATTAATCAGGGCAAAAGAGGTAGGTAGTTCTACAGGAAACCCATTCTCCGGTATTAAAGCTATAAATTGGAAGGCAGGAGAACAACCACCAGAGCCTAGCACGATGTCCTACAATATCTTACAACAAATACTTGACCTCTCAGGTAAACTAAGTGCAAAAACATACAGACTCAGGCTATAACTACTGAACTGGCCACCTTTGGTGAGTTTTTTACACTATGCCAATTTTAAGAATATCCCTTGTCTTAAAATTGTTACTCAGCCAAGTTCCTCCTGACATGGAGGGATAGCTGTTGTCAGCAGTAGCTGTGAAGATTTGAAGAATTAGATCCATCCTTCTTTCCAGTGATTTAAAATGGTGGTGAGGGGCACACAGAAATGGTAGTGACTTCTAGCTGGGTGTGGTGGTGCACTCCTGTAATCCCAGCACTTGGAAGGCTGAGGCAGGAGGATCACTGAAAGTTTGAGCCAGCCTGGGCTACATAGTGAGTTCGAGGCCAGTGTGAGCTATACAGAGGGGCCCTGCCTCAAAAAACAAAACAAAACAGAAATGGTAGTGACTTCTAAGAAACTTTGAAGAAATGGCAACTCAGCTGAGTTCTCAAACTGGAGCAAAAGGGCTCAACTGAAACCTGCCCAAATGTGGGACTGTGTTGGGCGGACCTCACATTTAACTCCATGCCAGGTACCACAGGAACTCAAGATATACACAATCCAAAATATGACCTTGTACTTCTTATTTTGGTTACAATGAACTGTAATAATTAAGCCCTTGGAGAAACACCAGCTGTATATAATTATAATTTATGACAGACCTTTTGTCTATATTTAAATTCCAGGACCCCAACCAACTTTCTTTTTTTAAACAACAGTTATGATTTAGTCACACTCATAACTTTTCATAGCAAAATATAAATATATTCCCGAATTGTATGACAAAAAAATAATGTCATCAGCCAGTGTTCGCCAAACTCCAGTCCCTTTTCTCTTTAACAACTTTTAGTATGTAAAATGCTTATAATAATTCAAACATTGTTGTATGCTTTAAACAATTTTTGAAAAAAATAAAAATAAACAATTTTTGTAACTTGGCAATTAATTCCATAACTAATACGTACGGTTCTAAAAGGTCAAATATCACTCATAGTATCTGTACCAGATGTATAAAGATTTGAAACAAGAATGAACTCTGACACTTTTTTTTTTCCCTTGGTACCGGGAATTGAACTCACGACCTTGCACTTGCCAGGCAGGTGCTGTGCCGATGAGCTAAATCCCCAGCCCCAAACTCTGACATTTTTAAATATTTCATTAGAAAATAAACTGTCAATATTAATAATATAATTAAAAATAAATTAATTGGCCATAACTAGTAGAAACTAATTTAAAGAAAGTAGTAAGACTTTTTACCATTGAGAATTAAGGACAATCTGGGTCAGTTAGTTCTGGCTCCAGGTAACATCCTGTAGCTGTTCAGAATCCCTGTCACACCACCAAGCTTCTTAAGGGTCCCAGGCATCCAACAATGGTCATGTGTCCATGAGGCTTTGAATATGTGACGAAAAGACAGATTTAGGGTGAGATAAGAACATATACGCACTTGTGGTGCCCACACCCCCAAAGCATGCTGGTGAACTAATCCTATATATTTGCTTTTTTTGCTCAAAATTATGGCTGGCCAATTTATGTTTTAAAAATTTCCTTCTTTACAATCATACTTGTTTTTTTTTTTTGTTTTCTGATATTATCTCATAGATTGCTAAAGATCTGAAAGATCATGAAATTTAAGGTAAGCTCTCTGTGTGTGTGTGTGTGTGTGTGTGTGTGCACGCGTGCATGTGTGTGTGTGTGTGTCCTTGTTATGCTAGGGATTGGACCCAGGGCCTGCAAGATACTAAACCCCATCATACGTTAAGCTTTTTGAAAGGAAACTCTAGTAGCATTTTCCAAAATGTGTGCCAAGAACCGTTGAATGGTCTGATATGTCTGGAAATCCAGCATATCCAATCCTCACCGGCAAATTAATTACTCTCTTGCAACTGAAAAAGCTGCTCCTCTCAAGGTAAGGATGCATTTGAGTACTTCATGCAGTGGGAAGGAAGAAGAAATGACCATGGGGCGGAGGGAGGACAGGAGGCAGCAAATAAAACTGGAAGAGCAGATGGAAGGGAATTAGCTGATTACACGGACCCATGGATCCCAGACTGAACAAGCAGAGAGAGAAAGAGAGAACACATTCTATTTACACTACAAGACCTTCAAAAGATTCAGGAACTGGTGACATGGATACTGCTGAAAAGAGGTTTGGCAGCTGTTTACAAAGTAGATGGGTCTCCACCTCAAACCTGACAAAGACTCCAAGATTTAATCTCTGCAGGGTTCTGCAGGCGGCCGACTCAGGCACAATGGAAAGCAGCACTCCCGTCAGCAAGCAGAGAGTCCGAAGCACAAGGAACACTGAATTCTTCTCTCCCATTTCAGCTTACTGTCCCTATTATGCTCAGAACTGTTAAGCCAAGGAAGACACTTATTTACAATAAAATGCAACTGAGTCAAGAAAAAAAAAGTATACCTTAAATATGCTGCTTACTTTGGGAGTGCCTTAAAGGTTTAAAGGAAAACGGACTGCATGAGAAAGAAAACTGCCAATCATTACTTAAGGAGGCAAGTAATGATTTTCATTAAACTGAAACTATTTCCAATAAAAATAAATAGATGAGGAACAATATATGTTCTAAAGACAGCCAGAACCATACTTTCATCCCGTATGTTCTTCTGCACTATGACTGTGACACTGCCTACTTAGGAAATAGCCACATTCCCTCCCCCTTTAGTTTGGAGGTCTTATGGTTGTGTTGACCAGTGGACTTCGGTAGAAAACTGTGCAACTGCCAGGCTAGGTCACATAAAACAGCCCAGCTGGCTACCTTGGAAAATTTGCTCCTTAGAACCTCCTTTTAGAATAAGTCTCCACGACCCCACACGAGCAGCCACGTGGGAAATCGAGATCTGGTAATCTACTCAACAGCCCCACCAGAGCCCAGCCTTCACGCCAGGCCAGGTGCCAGACAAGCCAGCAAAGGAACCACTGGATGACTCCAGCCCCTCATCACTGAAGTCTTAACCACAGAATGTGTGAACAAAAAGCAAAATGGCACTGACGTATGTTACTACACTGGAGGTGGTTTGCCTCACAGCAACAGAGGACAAGAACAAACAGGAAACCACAGCAAATAAAAAAGGAGCTTCTGAAATTAATGACCTCATAGCAAGAATGAAAAATACAACAGATGGGTCAGAAGATGAACCAGAAAAAATTCTCAGGGTGTTAAATAAATGAACTGATGGATGGAAAAATAAAAGAAAAGGTACAGTAATTTAGAGAACCAGACCAGAAGATCCACCATGTACATAACAGGAGCTCCGGCAAGACAAAACAAAGGAAAAAACAGGAAAAAAAGGAAGGAAGTAATGAATTAAATAATTCAAGAATTCTTCCCAAAATGAAGAAGTGTTTTCCAGATTGCAAAATCCGCTGGAGTACTGGCACAGTGGCTGAAATCAGGACCATGCAAGGATGCACTCTTCTATCAGTCGTGAAATGTCAGAACACAGGGAAAAGAGGATCACACAGGCGTCCAGAGAGCGGAAGGTGAACCCATATGGTGGATGCAGAAGCAGAATGTTCACAAAATCCAACTACAGAAACCAAGACAATGAAGCAAGGCCTTTAAAGTGCAGATGGAAAATGAACTCCAGCTGCGAATTCTTATAGCCAGGTGACTGATCAAAGGAAGTAAAAACCTTTGAAGGTGAATATCTCAAAATCTTTGCTTTCTGCATCCTTTCTCAGGAAGCTACTGGAAAATGAGTCTCATCGACATTGGAATATTAAACAAGAAAAGGAAGCCATCACTAAAAATCAGAAGGCAGATCGGACACTTGCAGAGCAAAAGAGCACGGTGAAGGGGCGTCCTCCGCTGACAAGCCCGGAGCAGGTCAGAGGCCCTGGGAACGATGTCTTCACCAAGGCAAAACTGCTAGGATAATCAGTGGGATACGCATGCTGAAAACCAACTTAAATAATGGGCAGACTATGGCGCTGCGTCAGTGATAAGTACCTTGAAATACAGCCAATGAAGGGAGGCAGAGGCATAATTACGGACTCCAAAGAAATCAGAGTCATCAAGTAAAGAAAAAAGCAATCATTATGTACCCTATGGCTTAACTGTGAAGAACAGTAATAATGTAAACACTATTTATCAATTCAAAGTCAATAAAACCATGCGCAGGTCCTGGGTTCCGTCCCCAGCCCAGGGGTGGGGCGATGGAGAGAGAGAGGGTTATGGACACAGAACAGCAGGGAAGATGGGCATGGGAAGGGCTACAGTGCCTGGCACCATAGAACTACCACGGGAGTGTGCTCTGGATCACTTTGCTGCTGAGAGTAATGGCCTGTTTCTAATTTAATTTTATCACCAACCCCTTGTGCTCAACAGCTCAGCATGGTAGAAAGAGCAAAGCAGGGGTAAAGGGCACAGCCCACTGCAGGGTCATCTTCATGGTGATAAATATATGAGGATATTCTTCTGAGAAAAGCTCCCAAACCACTGATTATCAGATCTAGTTTTCATCCTGAAAATAAGCACAAAACATGAAGGGACCTACAATACAGAAAATAAGAGCGATAGTGGCATTTTAAAGGCAAAATCTACGAGACATGCCTAGTGTGCAATTCTGGATTGCAGAGTGAACAGATTCTAAAAAATCATATGTGTCCCTGTATCACACACTTACAAGTTAATTTAGAGAAACCACTATATGGAGAAGAAAGTGGGAAAAAAGGTTTAAATGACTGAGGAACATGAGGCTCAGGCTATATATTCATTAATTTCTTTTATAGTAGAAACTCAACAGTCGGGCATAATGGTGCACAACTGGAAAGCCAGCTACTCAGGAGGCTGAGGCATAAGAATTGTGAGACTGAGGACTGTCGGCAAGACCCTGTTGGAAGGGAAGGAGGGATACAGGCAGGCAAAGCGGCAGAGCAAAAATCTGAGAGTTACAGAGAAATAATATATATCTAATGAACTAATATAGCTGAGCTATACCTAGTGTAGTATTACTTAAAGAGGTGGAAATACTCTTTCTTTAAAAGCAGCACACACAGTCTGCACCCCACTGCCCACCGCAACAGGAACATGGCCTAAGTTTGCTCTGTTGACTTTCAGCCCCAGGAGAGTATCCTGGGCTTAACTGTATCAATGTTCCAAGAACGACTGTTCTGTGTCCCAGAAACTACTGTGACTGGAACAAAATCCAGCCACTGAGATTGATGCCAAAGCTATCCGAGTGTCCAGGACCCTGATTATAGTGAGGCAGAGCTAATGCCACCACTGTAGGCTAAAGGAAGGCACTGGGACAGATGAGGACGCCAGCAGAGGCTTGCTGTTCGGCTTGTTAATTCTAGCCATCTGGTCCTCCTTTGCTCACACACTCTCGAGGTGCTGGCCCCGCGCGGCATGGGCGTGGCCCACTTGGAAGGTGCTCTCTGATGCCCACTGCTGTCTCCCACTCACTGCAGGGCTACAGAGCCTCTCTAAGTTCTCCCACTGAAACAAACAGACACCCTCCAGATGGCGACCCTCCAAACCGGCCAGGGAGAGCTCTTGGGGTCTGCCTTACTTAGCACTATGATTTCACACACCAAGCTCAGTGAGATGATGTGCTACTGGCAGGCTGAGGCAGAGGATTCTAAGTTCAAGGCCAGCTGGGGCAACTCAGCAAAATCGGTCTTAAAAATATAAAAAGCGGTGGGAATGTAGCTCAGAGGCACAGCACCCTTGGATTCAATATGTAGTATCACCAAAGAGAGAAAGGGCGGGGGAAAACTGACCCCACAGCTTAGGCTGTTGTCTCCAGAACTCGCTCTAGAGTTTTCTTGGGCTCCCAAGGTAGTAACAACCTTTTATGATCAGCACTGGATTATTTTCCGTGCCCCCTTTGGGAAGGGGACTTTCTGGATGAATATTACAATGAAAGCAGGGTTTTGTGCTATGGTAAAGGACGAAGAAAGGCAAAGCCATGTACCCCTTCTTCAGAACCTCACATCTTAGTGCCAAGCACAGAGAATCACTCAACAATATTTAGTGAATGAATGAAGTCTCTCAAAGGAAGCCCACGTTCCTCACTAGAGTCAGCATTTAACCTTTCTCCCCTTTGACTGCTGGTTCCCTACACTTGCAAACACCAGAGAAATCTAAAAGCACAGTTTCTTTTTGCAGTGGAGGGCATAGAACTCAGGACTTGTACATGCTACCACCAAGCTACAACCCAGTCCTAGAAGTCTAAAGATAAAATAAAATGATAGTAAGTGACTTTAAGAAAAATTCCAGATCTCTCCAACACGAAGAATAGCATCAAACATTTGAAAGTTAGAGGAAATGAATGATGACTGGCCTGGAGGTCTCAGAAAGCTGAACCCCAAAGCTGGCAAGGAGTGGAAGGAGGCGGAGACAACCCAAGTCAGAACAGCTGCTGCTGGAAGCCAGGATAAACTACAGAAATGCCTCCAACATGAGAGGAAAATGATTTCCAACCTAGAATTCTAAATAACCCACCAGGCTTCTAGTCAAAATGATATAGAACAAAAGCATTTTTCTTCCTTTCTTTTTTTTTTTTTTCTATCTTTTTGAGACAGGGGCTCACTATATAGTTCAGGCTGGTCTTGAACTTACTTGGTAGCCCAGGCTGGTCTCGAACTCCCAGCGATCCTCCTGCCTCAGCCTCCCAAGTGCTGGGATTACAGGCATGCGCCACCACACCAGGCCAAAAGCATTTTCTTAAAAAGTCACTTCTCAGCAGATTGGTGCAAGAAGTACATCACCAAATACCAATTTCAAGAAGTACACCGCCATATAACTATGACAGCAGTTAGAACAAGAGTACCAGCACTTGGCGGTGCTTGATGTATCTCCAGGAACTCTTCCAAGTGACTCACCTATGTTAGCTAGACAGTCTCCATGAAAACTCCACATAGAAAGGTACTATTTTCCAAATGGGAAAACTGAGGCATAAGGAGGTCACCTAATTTCCCAATGTCACATGGCTAGTAAGCCGAAAGGTTAGGACCCAAAGCAACGTAATCTGTCCCCAAGTCTGTCATATACTGCTTATCAAGAGCAAGACAGAGGACCCAGCAATCATTCAAGAGACCCAACATAAAAGAGGGGCATCAGAAATCTCAGGATTATAAGGAATAAAGACCCCCCAAAAGACCGCTATGTAGCAGGTGCTTAGAAGAAATAAGTGTAACAAAAGCAAGGGAATGAATGACTCCAGAAGTTTTTTAAGGAGACAAAACAGAATCTTTCTTGGACATGAATGCATTTACAAGAGACTTTGGCAACTAAGGTAGAAGTAAGAGTCAAATGGGTAAAACATACACAGTAAACAATAACAAAAACATGAAAATAAGCTGTGCATGGTGGTGAACATCCATAATCTCCATTACTCGGGAGACTGAGGTAGGAAGTTTGAGTCCAGTCTGGGCAATTAAGTGAGACGCTGTCCCAAAATGAAAAATAAAAAGGGTTGAGAACGTATTCCCTGGGAGGGTACCCTTGGGTCCTATCCTCTGTATCATAGGAGGAAAAAGAAGACAAGAAATTAACTGTGAGGAACACAAAAAGCACAATAAAAGAAATCATGGTATGCTATGCTCAGCAGATATATGTATGGTCAAAATATAAATTTGTTTGTTTTGGCATAACAAAAAATATGATCATACACCAAAGATCTCTAAACTATTTTCATACCAGGACGTTATTCATCCTGTTCACTTTCATTTTATTATACACAGTGCAGTTTTCCAGGAATTACATGATAAATGCTTTCTCAACAGAAGGAGTGCAGACCAAGTATGAGAACCTAGCCATTTTCCATTAAGTCAAACATTAAAATGATTTGATAAAAATAAAATGTTACCATTCACCTAATTTCTAAAAAAGAATTTCATAAAAAATAACATGCACAGGGTTTATCATTGTTACTTTTCACAAAAATAATTTTTCTACTTTGATTCCTAATAGAATAAATACCAAAAGATATATTCTATCTGAGCAAAAGTTCTGAAATATAAACAGTGTTGAAACCAAAACCTTTCAGAACGTAAAGGGGACAAGAGAGGACTAAGAAGTGAGTGCAACTGCTGCGAGAGCTTGGAGGGGAGAGAGAACCATATCCTCTGTAGCAGTACAAAGAATTTAAAACTGAACAACCCCTGGTACTGGAAAAAAAAAAGGCAAACAAAAAAACCCCTAAATAATCTAGAAAGCATAAATATGCCCCTTAGGGAGTTGGAAATACACAAAGAAACCTGTAAGAGTTGAAATGGGTACCTCCAGGGCTATGCTGTTCAACACAGTAGCCACTGGTGACATGTGACTAGGAGCTTTTGAAATGTGCCTAGTCTGAATAAGGAAACCAATTTTAAAATTGTATTTTCATTGATTAAAAATTTAAAAATTAAGCTATGTGTGATGGTGCACACATATAGTCCCAGCACTCCTGGAGGGTAAGGCAGGAGTATCATAAGTTCAAGCCAAGCCTGGGCAACTTAGGGAGATTCTATGTGAAAAAGGGGTGGGGGCTGCAGCTCACAGCAAAGGCCCTGGGTTCAATCCCCAGTACTGCGAGTGGGAATGGGACGGAGAGGGAGGTGAAGGGGAGGGATAGAGAGAGAGAATTTTACAAAATTAGAGCAGTGTAATGTCGTTCCCTTAAACACAACTTTACCATTTGCATCAAACTACATCTCACTTCAATGGAGGTACTGTGTAAAATATTACTGATATACTTACTATATATCTATGGATTAGACATATAGACCTCATTAACAACTGTTTATATTGCTTATGTGTTAAAATTATAACCTTTTAATATACTAAGTTAAAGAAAATACAGGACGGTAACCCTTATCTGAAGTGCTTGGGACCCAAAGTACTTTGTGTTTCACTTTTTTTTCCAGCCTTTGGAATATTTGCTAATGTATACATAGTGAGATATTTTAGGGAGGAGAGCTAAGTTTGAAGACAAATTTTATTTAATTTTCATATACACCTTATACACACAGCTTGAAGGTAATTTTAGGTAACATTTTTACTGCACCTATGTTTCACTGTGACGGGTTACGTTAGATCAGGTGAGGAGGTGTGGCTCCTATGTCAGTGCTCCAAAAATTTTGGAATTCGGAGCATTTCAGGTTTTGGATTTTCAGATTAGCAATGTTCAACTATATCAAAATTATTTTTACCTGTTTCTCTTTGCTTTTTAAAGATTTTGCTACAAGGCTATTACATGTGCCTCGCATACTTTTATTACACAATAGGGAATAGGAAGTTCTGAGGGCTACTGGGAAAAGAGCATTGTTTTCTGTAACTGAAACTCCTTGTTGGGAAATAATTCTCCACGGGCCTCACGATTTCCTGTTCATTTTGCTGCGGCCTTTTGCTATGGACTATTTTTCAAGGTTACTTCTTTGGTAACAAACTACCTTTGAAGACAGAAATATTGCTTCCCTCCTCACTATAGACAAGGCTTCTTCACAATAAAGATAAGGTAGGCCTGGGAGTGTAGCTCAGTGGTACAGTACTTTGGCCTAGCACACGCAAAGCCCTGAGTTTAGTCCCCAGCACAGCACACATACAAAAAACATAATGTTGCCCAGAATAGCACATAGCATGCACAGCATCTACTATAAAAGATTTGGGTTCTCCAGGCTCAGGGTCCTTTCCTATAATGCAACCCACAGTTTGTACAGTTATCACTACCCTCTTCGGGGTGCCCTGTGGGAACGAGGGCTTGAGAAACCCATATAGAAAATGATGATCCTCTGCTACTGCTGTTGGTACAGCTAACAAACTATCTTTCATCTCTGGGCCAGGAAACTTGTGTCTTCTGCAGGATCCACAAAACTTGTGGCAGATTTGTTAGCTTTCAGTAGGGTACAGTCTTAGACCATTTATAGTTTTTGGCATTTCTATGGAATTACCTGATAATTACAATATGTACTTATCACTTTGATTAAAAAAGGGCTTTGTAAAGGTAGTAATTTATAAAGGACTTTGTTTTAAGAGTAGTAGTAAAAGTAAGAGTTATAAAGATGATTATTAGTTTTTATATATAACTGTCATAAATCAATATTCTAAAGCCCCAATAAGAAAAGTTATTGAAATTTCCTTTTCTCTATTCCTATTTTCTTTTTACAGTTCTACTCACCATTTAATCACATTCATATACATATATATAGCATATTATATAGTTCTATAAAATTTGGAAATCCCCAAGTATTATTAATAAAATTTCCAATACCCTAGTCCTAATTTTAAGTTAGTTGAAATTGAAGCCGCTGGTTTCAACTGTGAAGTCACCTACAGGAGGAAAATATTTCTCCATGCCTGAATTCTATAGACTTCTATTTCACTTACTTATTATACCAGTTTGATGGAGAATCTCACTTAAATAACTAACCCTTGCATTTCACTCATTCTTGGAAACAGTATTTCTTCCTCTTTTCTCATGGCCTTTCTTCCCCAAAGGCACAACCAAGGACAGGAACATGGTGACATCCTGTACAGGGGACTAAAGCCCGACCTTTTTGCCTACATATATGGGTGGACAGATAAACTGTACCCATCTGTGCCACAAGGTAGAAAGCTCTACATTATCAGGAGGAAAAAGAAGATTCAGGAAGACTTCCTGATTACAACAGACCTGAACCTTGCACATGGATAGGATAGATACTAAGGGAGAAATGCATTCCTTATTTTTATCATTGCTCCGGAAGTAGAAGCCTAAAGCAAACGAAGCCCGGAGGAAACAGAGACCGCAATGTGTAACAAAGGGAGTTTGAAAGAAGAAGTAGGTGAGTGAGGGATAATGGCAGTTTTGCCACTCATGTTCTGTAGCCCTGAAGACCTCCTTTCCCATGCCACTGTGTCACCAAGGGCCAGTTCTACCCTCCTCTCAGAGGGTCCTTCACCTGCAGAATGAGATTTGTTCCAGTAACTATGGAAATGTTCATGCCATTCCCTAAGAGGAAGGAAATGGGAGAATCAAGTCACTGTTCTGGAACTTTCCTTTGGAAACAGAAAGTGCATGCAGACTACAGAGACTAGATTCAATTCATTTGTCTTCATCATGTTTTCCTGTTCTTTCACTCACACACACACACACACACACACACACACACACACACGTGCAATTAAAAACCTATACTCTTTATCTAGTCCACTCTTAAAACACCAAATGACAGCTCAAAACGATGGACAATAACCTAGTCACTAGCCTGGTTAATTCTTTGCCTGTGAACCTGGAGACACTACATTAATGGTATCAAAATTGAAGAGAAGACCAGGCATGGTGGCATATGCCTATGATCCCAGCACTTGGGAGTCTAAGGCAGTAGGATCCCAGGTTTGACACCTGCCCAGAGAACTTGAGGAGACCTGTCTCAAAATAAAAAATAGTAAGGACTCAGATGTAGCTCAGTGTGAAGGCCCTGGCTTCAATTCCCAGGGTTGGGGGGCGCGGACTGGCGGGGTTGGATCTGGTGCATGAGCCTGACCTTGCCGGGGCCCCTCCTCCTGGTGAACGTCCAGGAATGGCCAGGCCAAAGCAGCGGGGCTTGAAGCCACAGGCTCCAGCTGAGCAGTAGAGTGAAAATGAAAATGAGGAAAAGTCGGGCTACATTTCCCTGCTCATTTCAAAGATCCTACAATGATGCATCCTCCTTGTTCAGTATTTGTGCTGTATTTTCAATAACAAATGTCCCACTAATCCCACTCCCCTGATTTTTCAATTATCAGTTATCAATACCTTCATCCAACTTCTCCTTAAACTTAAAATTTGATGTTAGAAACATACATGGCTTTACCCATATAAATTTCACACATTCCTTCACATGCCAAAGAGATCCGAATTATACTTAACATCAGAATGAACAGAGTATAAGAGTAAGGATAAGAAAGTAGTAAACCATTCAGCCTTAAGGAATGAAAGCAGGGCATGGTGACATAAGACTGTAATCCTAGCATTCTGGGAGGCTAAGACAGGATACCAAGAGCCTGTCTCAAAATTAAAAGAAAATTTAGGGCTGGGGATTTAGCTCAGCGGCAAAAGCACCTGCTTGGCAAGTGCAAGGTCGTGAGTTCAGTCCCCGGTACCAGAGGAAGATCAAAGAAATCAAGGCCAGCCTGAACTACATAGGTATCAAAAAGACAAAAAAAAAAAAAAAAAGAAAAAAAAAAGAAAATTTAAAAGGGCTGGCCATGTAGCTCAGTGCAAAGGCCCTGGGTTCAACTCCCACTATAGGAAAAAAAAAAGAAAATTTAAAAGGGCTGGCCATGTAGCTCAGTGCAAAGGCCCTGGGTTCAACTCCCACTATAGGAAAAATGGAAGAAATGAAAGGAGGAAGGAAAGGAGGGATGGAGGAATGAAGGGAGGGAGGAGGAGAAGAAAGAAAGGGAAAAAAGGAAAGAAACTCTGACATATGCTACAACATAAATGGACCCTTAAGGAGCCATGCTAACTGAAATAAGCCAGACACAAAAGGAAAGGTCTGCAAGATCCCACTTACAAGAAACACCCAGAGTAGCAAATTCACAGAAGCAAAAAGCAGAATACGGTTTCCCGGGGCTGGGGCAAGGGAAGGATGAATGGGGAGTCACTGTCTGAAAGGGGAGTTTCTACTGAGGCCAATGAGAAGCTCTCCGGAGGGCGTGCACGGTGGGTGGGCACTGTGAGTGGACTCGAAGCCTCAGAACTTCCTTCCTCCATCAGGGACGCGGGTTTCACTCGGGGATTGATGCGTCCTTAACCTCTTCACTAAGATTAAAACGAGAAGCACCCAGCACGCAACCGGACTACATGAACCTTTTAGAGCAGTCAGAGTGCAGTGAGAGGAAGAATGTTGGCCTCACAGGACAGGCAAGCCCTCTAACGCCGAGCTGTGTCTCCAGCCCCAGGAATGTGACTTACAGGGCTTTTCACACTAACCTAAAAGACAGGTTGGAGGAAATGTATTCGGAGGGGACAGGCATGAACCCAGGCTGTCCAAAGTTAAAAAAAGTAAAATAAAAAGGGACCTTTTCAGAGTGTAGATTGTCAGTTCCCTTCTCATAGACTGCTGTGTTTCCTATGTAACCTTCTTGGCTTTACTGTTATCCCAGCGTTCAAGTATGAGTAACAGCGAAACGACCTTTCACACAGGAAAAACCTGTCCTCTAGGGCACAAGAGTTCACTTGCAGAGGCGGACTTTGATAGGCCCAAACAAAATTATTTCTGTTTATGCACACATCAAAATCAAGAGTAGCTTTCAACACGAACCTTCCACCTCATTACCACTGCAGGCCAAAAAGGGGTATAAACGATGGTACTGTCCACTTCAAAGCTCCAGGCTGAAAAGTAATACATTTCTTTTTTTAAAAAATCTAAAAGTAACCTCAATCTAAAAGATCTAAAAAAGTAATCTAAAATCTGAAGTTTATACTGCTGAATACACCACCACAATTATATGGAAACACAATTTTTAGACTGTGAAGTTACTCTACAGTTCAGTTTGCTCGCTCTTCATTTTAAAGATGAGAAAACTAGGTCGCGTGTCAAGAGCAATTCCTCAGCAAATACATCTTACAGTGGCTCTGGGCTCTCCATGCTGATAGCTGAAACTGTAGTCATCCTGTGGCTGGCAGGGCCTGGGGCCTCGGAACACTCCCAATTTTATGTACTCCAGCCTTCTAGAAGCATTCTTAGTTCCAGAAATTCGAACTCAAAATCTTCCTTCTTGGTTTTAGAGGTGGCCCCCAAATTCTGGATTTTTTTTTTTTTTTTTTGTACCAAGAATCGAACTCAGGACCTTGTGCTTGCCAGGTATGCGCTTATGCCGCTGAGCTACCTCCCCGGCTCCCCAAATTCTGGATTTCCAGTTTGCTAAATGTGATTGTCGCAGTAAGAATTCTCACTCAAGATGATAACTGAGGCTGGGTGTGGTGATGCATGCCTGTAATCCCTTCACTTGGGAGGCTGAGGCAGAAGTGAGTTCAAGGCCAGTCTGGGATACTCTGTAAGACTCTGTCTCACATTCCCTCAAACACATTTAAAATCCAGCTCCACCTCTGCCTTGTGGTCCCTCTCCTGCCCCACAATAATTGTCCCTTCTGTGAAATCCAAGTCACTCACTACTAGAAGCCACAGAGCAAAGGGAAATATAGTCAAATGGAGAAGAGAATAAATCCTAGTGTGCGGTTTCAGCAGGTGGTTTGACCTTTCTGAGCTTTGGTTTCCTCATCTAAAAGCACGAAGGATGTGGTCTTAGACTCTTTCCATTTCCCCCTCTACTCACCCTACTTTCTGGGCCTAGCCAAAGCTTATTCAATTAGTAAAGATTTTTTTTAAAAGACTGCTAGATGCGGTGGTGCATACCTGTAATACTAGCTACTTGGGAGGCTGAGGCAAGGAGACTGCAAGTTCAAGTTCAGCCTGAGTAATTCAGCAAGACCCTGTCTCAACATAAATGAAGAAGGGTAAGAGCACACAGTTCAGCAGTAGGGGGCTTTCCTTGAATGTATGAAGCCCTGGGCTTGATCCCCAATACACCAAACACACACACACACACACACACACGCACACACACACACATCCAAATATTTCAAATTTTTGTTTCTTTTCCCATCCCCAAAATATGGGGTAGCATCTTTGCTGCTTTTTGGTTAAATGTGCTTCCTAGCTCACAGTCTCATCCAGAGATGGAAATTCATGTACAGAACTTCACTGCTCCAAATCATAGTGTGTCAGGGCAGTGGAACACAAATTCAAAGCAGTTCTACAGATGAGTATCTACAAGGAAATCCCAAATGACTGGCCTCAGACTGGGTAGTGTGTTCAGCCAGCCTTTGGAATTGATCCTGGTCTTTCTGGACTTCACTCTCATCGGTACAAGGAAAAGGGCGGTCGGGTTCGGTGCAGGGCCACCAGCTCCGGAGGGTAAAGCACGCCGCTGTTCTCCAGCAGGTTGTGCTGGCAGCAAGTGGGGAGGCTGGCTGCGTGCTGGGCCAACCTGGCTTCCTGGCAGGGCCCTCAGGGGTGATGGGGAAGTCCTACTCCAAGGCCAAGGCCTAATGCTCTATTTCCTCAAGTTTGAAAATGCTTTTTCCTCACTGCGGATGTGTTCTGAAATTAATGTTCATGAATGCTTTCAGGACTGGAACGACTTCCTTGCTTCCTCTAAAGATGCTATCAACTGGACTTTTGGCACAGAGGTCCCTGGTGACAGTAGTCCTCAGAAAGTACTTAGCCAAGTATTCCCCCTGCATTTCCTACTTCGTTCTCACAACTACCCTCTAAGTGGCTATTTTAATTCTCATTTCACAGGTAAGGACACTGAGGCTTTAGCTACTTTGCAGATGGGCATTTGCTCCAGTCTATTGGTGTAAGAAATGAGGCCGGCGCTGACTCCCTTGGAAGCAAAGAGAACAGAGCGCGGTCTCTCTTTGGCCAAGAACAACACCAGATCCAGTTATTAGCAGCTTCTAACTATACTCTCCTGGCTTCCAAAGCTTTCAAGGAGCCCCCAAATCTCCAAATCTGCATGCTGCACACATAAAACAAAGGCTTCAGCTCTAAGACACACCCAGCAACCTCTTCGAGCCTGGGGACCTCTTGGTGCTATGGGCTCGGAACAGCTGCTCCAAAAACCTGAGTGGCCAATTTCACCCACCATTTTCATTTGCTCTAAATTACAGTTATGAATAATTGCCGAATTTAAAATAATCACTAATTCCCAACAAGATGGCATGAAAAGAGATCTGTGAGACGCAAACATATTTAGAGATAAGTTGTACATTGGTGAATACAGAATAAGCCCACTAGAAAACAATAAGCAGAGGAGGGGATGTTGTGCAGTGGTACGGTGCTTCCCTGGAGGGCAGGAGTTCGAGGGTTCGATCCCTAGCACCACAGAAACAAAAGCAGAAAACCCGGTCAAGTTCCAAGTTAATGTACTGGAACATTGAAATTATGGGAGATACACAAAACCAGAACCATTTCAGCCAGCATCTTTTTTTGGGGTGAAGGATGTTCATTCAAGCATTTTTATAATGTTTGCATCTTCACTCCCAATATTTTTTTTACATTACAAAGTGAGGTTACCAAGGTACTAATTCGCCAACATAAGCTCCAACTGAATATATTTCACAGCATTATAATAAAGAAAATCTCTCAAAAATAAAAGGACATTTACAATCCAATTTCATTCTACTTCCTTTAGGTTCATTTCCCCTGCTCTGGTGCTGGGGATCAAGGGCCTTGCACATGCCAGGCGAGTGTACTCTACCACTGAGCTACACCCCAGGCCTGGGTTAGCTCCTCCTGTTCCCTTCTGGCACCTGTCTCGCATTTACTCAGA